TCCGTGGCGGAGCGGAGGCCACACAGCCCCAACCCCCCAACCCGACAACCCTCCGTAGCGCAGCAGATCCCATCTGGGGTTTCTCCCAAGCAGGATGCGGTGCCCTCCCAAAGTCTTCAGTCACAAGAGTTCGAGGGGGAGCCTATTAGGTTTCCTAAGCCGGTACTGCCATTGTCGACATTGGCATCGCCCGAGTTGCTACCGATGCTTTCTTGTGTTAATAAAACGATGGGTAGCACGCCCTCAACAAGTACGCACGCGACGTCTTCTCGTCCACCTTCTGGGGCCTCACTCCCATACATTAAATCGGAAGAGTCTGTAAAGTTCGGTGAGATGTCAAACTTGCGCTTGTCCTCAGCTCAGGCCACGAGTAATTCACCTCAAGATGAAAAGAGTGGCGTGAATGACAACGGCAAAGTGTCCTCGATTTCATTGGTAAAGGAAGTCACCCAAACAATGCCTATCACACCCTCCCAGTCGTTGGGTAGCTCCCCAGCTCATGAGTTAGGTTCGTCTGATGATACCTCTTTGTCGACAGGCCCGCTGTGGAAAGTGGTCTTAGCGGTGTGCCCGACCCTCTCGGAGGAGATATTGCCTGGTATATATCTGCACGACCTCAACGAGGACATCCGTGAGTACCCGAGAGTTCGCTCGGTCCTCAATCAGCTCAAGGTCAAGTGTAATGGACGCGGTAAGCCAGACATTTTCCCCATCTATTTGGGCAGCGCGTATCCTGAGCGGGCGTTGCTTGCATCGCTGAAATCATCCGCATCGGAGCTGCGCGCACGGACGCTTTCGATGCGAGATGAAATGCCCTTTTTATCCTATCGCGTGGGTTCGATTCTGCTGGCCAATCTACACTCTCGGGTGGAGCAGGACGCGTCTTTTCAGTCCCTCTGCAGTATTCGCCGTCAGATCATCCGAGGGGCGGTTGGCAATGGCAATCGGAATGGCATCGGCTACCCTCAACGTCTGGAGAGGGTCGAGCAGTGCCTCCGAGATGCGGCATCGCTGCTCGCCCGCACCAGTGGCTTTCCTATGATCAGTGCGGAAAAGGCGGAGGCTTCGATCGCCATCTTATCGCAATTCCATCTCGACTCGTCCGACGTCATCATCCGGGATGACGGCAGCAGCGGTACCTCTGTGGAGTTGAGCTTTAATGCGAGTTCCACGAAGCAGACCTCGCCTGAGCTGCGCGCCCAGTTTTCTATCACCCATCCGATACCCCATTCGACCCCAGCCGCCGCTTTTTCCGCCCGCACGCGGGAAAAGGTCGTGGAGCCGAAAGGGTGGAAATCCACGATGCCTTCCAACCCCACGAGCACCTTCCCACCCAAGGATTATTCCACCCCGGCGGAGTTCGCGTCCTCGACGACGGCCTTCCGGCCCTCCTTCCCAGAGCCGCCCTCGCGAACCTCGGCGATGAAGACCTCCTTTTCGCTCCCGTTGATGAGCCAACAGGAGCTGGCACCGTTGTGGAAGCGAGGGTCGAAACCCTCCGTTCCGATGCGCGCGACGTCCTCTTATGGCGCGGGATCCAAATCCCATCTTGTGAATCACGACGTCGCCGTGCAATGGCGAAATCGCACCTTCTCGGATAGCACCTCGCGAGAGGAAGGCAGCCAGGTCGCCGGGGCGGCCTTCTCGAACGATCCCAGCGAGGCCGGTGGAAGGGATGGGCGGGGTTCCTGGGTGAGTCAAAACCCCTCCGTGGATGCGGCGAACCCGTCGGGGTTTACGACCATTGCTCGATCGCTCGTGTTTAACGGGGGTTTAACGCGGGCGTCGAAGACCTTGGAAAGGGGGCGGGGGAGCGGCGCCGCCGGGGTGGCGATCACCCCGGCCGCGGGCGCCTCGCTTCGGGAGGTCTACCAACAGGCGTGTTTGGAGCACAAAATGCGGCCGAATACGGGGCTTCTTTACCTTCTCCCTGCGGAACCTTTTAAACGATTGGCGAGCCTCGACCTCTCCGCGAACTACGTGGGCTCAAAGGGGATCATTCCGTTGCTGGTGGCGATTAAACACAACGGGGATGCCTTGCGCACACTTCGGCTTAGCCATAACAACCTGGAGAACATGGAGGTGATGGAGGTGGTGGATGTGCTCTTTAGCACCTCGGCGGGAAACTCCTTGACGGATTTGGATCTTTCCTACAACCCCATCTCGCGCACCAGTGGGCAGGCGATCTTAGATTTGTGCATCAAGAGGCCTAACATCACAAACATTTGCCTGGATGGCACTACGATACCACGACAGCTGCTCAAGGCGATCAATGAAACGGTAGGGAGGTCGGATATGTAAAATAATTTTTGTTTTTTTAAATATGTATCGAGTACAAAAAATGATACGACCCATATGTGCACGTGCACAGATTTCTCCTCCCCATGTCTGTAGAGAACACTCAATTTTGTTTGAATGCTAATGATTTCTTTGAATAGGTTATGCTATTACCAATTTAGACGTTGAATTTGCGACGGCTGTTAGCTTAGTGTTATCTTTTATTGATGTATTCAAAAGGTTTAGGGGTACCTAATCACTTGCGTGGAAACTCTTTGCCGCACCTTATCGCTACCACGATTCTTGGCTTTCGAAATTGCAGGCCAGTTTATCGTGTTTAATCCCGTTCCGCTTGAACACAAAATGCTTACTTAGTGTTATGGTTGTACATGTAATCTTCATAACAGAGAGAGGGCGCAAGAGCGTCTGTGTGTTTCTTCTGGAAGCCCTTCTTCATACTGTAATCGTTCAAATGGTACCTTCTTGTCCTATATGATTTCCCTTTCTCATACCAATTTGTTCTCCAAAAGTTCTTTTATTTTATTCAAAAATCGGAATTTTTATACTCTGTTTATCTTAGCCTGACGAAGATAGTGGGTGTGAAAATAAATAAATAAATAAATACATATCAAGATATATATTTATTAGCAAAAGTACTTCATCAAACGCGAGTCCGTACGTGGTGAGAACACCACCAAGAAACAGCAACCTCATTATCTAGACCTAACTCGCCTAACGAGAAATAACCCTGAGCTTTTGTCCTATAGAGAGGCGAGCAAACGGAAGAACTAACGATGTGGTCCAAAAAGCCTTTGATTGCCCTTCTGGGCGTGGCTTTCCTCCTCAACAGCATGATCGCTTCGGCAGAAGTGAACGCCACCGTGGCGACAGCAGAGGCGATCGCCCCTATTACCCCTTACACGAGCTACTTTACCATGTCCGCGCACGTGACCTCGTTTGTGGTCGTCTTTTCGGCCGCTCTCGGGTTCGCTTTTGCGATGTACTGGTGGTACGTCCTCTCCGACATCCAGGTTTCCCCCGTGAAGGATCAAGGCATGCGAAACACCTACCTCACGGATGAGGTAATGCGTAACGTGTATGTTATTTATACCCGTATTTCCGACGGCGCCACCACCTTTCTCGTTGCTGAGTATAAATATATGGCCGTCTTTTTGG